TACTACCTTTTTTATAGATATGTAAACATTATGAAGCAATCATTAAGTTCCACCAATAGCAGGACAAGCTCTAAGGGACATAAGTTTCAAAACTACAGAAAACGTAAACTAGATTTTTCTTTATTGACATGCAGAATATTTCTACAGAAAAAAATATGTAAATAAAAAGACCACATTAGGGTCAGTAAAGTACTGGCAAGTAAAAGTTCAACCCATGCACTGTCTACAGACCCGAAATTAAAAGTGGCCACACTGTCCACATTATTAACCCTGTCAGGGTCGAGAGGCCCTCTCCTAAACTTCTCAGGGTCAAAAATTTTTCGGAAAAAAAAAAAAAATATTCTTATGAAATGATAGAGAATCTTTTTCCCGATCATAATGACACCAAAAGTATGAAATTTGATGAAAACTTACGGACTTATGCTCTCATGAAGTTAGCGGTCTTGACAATGTTTATGCATCAGCGATTTCGCCCACTTTGAGCCCTATTTTCGGCCATTCCAGTGTACTATTTGACAAAAATCATAACTACACCTACCATCCGACTTACGACTGAGTTCGGTTCTGAGAAACCGGTCGGAAGTCGAAATGGTCCTAAGTCGAACTTTACTACTGAATATCAACAAAACATTTTTGTAATGACTATTTTATTGTTTTATTTTGGTATTTCATGATTTACTTTACTTTTTATGCTGTTAGTACTGTATTTTATACTGTAAGGTTTAGGATAAACACTGTGTACAACACAAATAGTTGTTTATTTCCCAGAAGTTTGGCATAAAAAACACGGTCGTAAGTCGAGTGGTCGTAACTCGAGTGGTCGTAAGTCGAGCAGGTCGTAAGTCGGATGGTAGGTGTATTTTGCTAGAACTCCATTTTTACTATCAAATGAATACAAGAAATTACCCATTTACCAATTTCAACTATCCAACAAAGTGGTCAGAAATTGGCAATTTTGCCAATTTCACACAAATTTCAAAAGATGCCAATTTTCAAATAGGGTCCAGAATAAACAAGACAAGACATTCCTGGCACTAAAATAAAATTTTCTTTGTTCTTTAGTCACGTCCCCAGGCCCGTCTCACATCTCTCTCTTGCTTTCCACTTTGAATTTTTATTCTCACAAAAAAAAATAGATTTACTATTATGCAGACTACTGCATTAGTGTAGAAATGGTATAATATCAGTACACTTGTGAAAGAATATTAGACTCACCAGTTGACGTGTATTGGACGCTTGGCATGATTTGTTTACTTTTGAACTTTGGCAAAAATCAAACATACCTGCTACTTTGGGCCCAATTTCAGTGTACTTTTCATTGTGAAACCAATCAAAATCATCTCAATTTCTGTAATATGTCTTCCATTCTATAAAATGAGACTAGGAAAACTAGAATACAACCATAAATAGCATACGAAAATAAAATTGAGTAGTCGCTGTTTTAAACCAAAAACACGGTCCGTTTTTTTTTCTCACTATGCACTGTGCTGCAGGATTTTTTTTATACTGTGCACACCGACCACAGACCCATTCTTTCATATGTAGGCCTACCAGCTTTCTCTCGCTAGATTTGAAGGCGCTAGAATTTACCCGTACTAGTGCGTCAATACCCCTGGCGCATAAACAGTACTATTGCGTCGGAAACCCTGAAACAGTTAAAAAAGCTTTTTGTCCCCCCCCCCACCTATCTGAAATGGTAGAGGATCTTTCTGAACGTAATAACACCACAAGTACAAAATTTACAGAAATACCCAGGCGTAAAAGTTAGCGATCCAGGCGCAACATGTGCATCAGCAATTTCACCCAATTTGAGTCCTATTTCAAGCCAATTCCATCATTCAATTCGACCAAACTGTTAGCTGTTTTGCTAGAGTACATTCCATTCTATCATTTCAGCAGAAAAAAACTGCCCATTCAACTGTCAAAACAACCCAATAGAGTGCACAGAACTTGGTAGTTTAACCAATTTAACACAAAATTTTAAAAAATTCTGATTTAACCCTTTCACTGTCCAGACCACCAAAATTAATTGATACAGCTCGCAATGTCCACTTTAACCCCTTACACAGTCCAAACGTAGATCTACATTCTTACCACTAGCACCCCAAATGTAGATCAATGTTTTATTTTTCCTGCCTACAAATTTGGCACGATTGGCATGAGATGCCTGGTCAGCAAAGAATGGGTCTTAATACTTGGTGTGCGTGCAGTATTAAAAAAAAAAATCTGGAACCACTTAGAACCTTGTGGGAGCACCAGTTCAATTGAGCGCCAACTAGAGCAAACAGCACGGCAAACACCTGGGATTCACTGATGTCATGTAGTAATAACCCTTTGACTGTTTCAGCCGTATATATACGTGAGGTGAATCATAGAATTGATGAGGGGAAAAGAGTGAGTGGTGCACTTAGGAGTCTGTGGAGACAAAGAACTTTGTCCTTGGAAGCAAAGAGGGGAATGTATGAGAGTATAGTTTTACCAATGCTCTTATATGGGTGTGAAGCATGGGTGATGAATGTTGCAGCGAGGAGAAGGCTGGAGGCAGTGGAGATGTCATGTCTGAGGGCAATGTGTGGTGTGAATATAATGCAGAGAATTCGTAGTTTGGAAGTTAGGAGGAGGTGCGGGATTACCAAAACTGTTGTCCAGAGGGCTGAGGAAGGGTTGTTGAGGTGGTTCGGACATGTAGAGAGAATGGAGCGAAACAGAATGACTTCAAGAGTGTATCAGTCTGTAGTGGAAGGAAGGCGGGGTAGGGGTCGGCCTAGGAAAGGTTGGAGAGAGGGGGAAAAGGAGGTTTTGTGTGCGAGGGGCTTGGACTTCCAGCAGGCATGCGTGAGCGTGTTTGATAGGAGTGAATGGAGACAAATGGTTTTTTAATACTTGACGTGCTGTTGGAGTGTGAGCAAAGTAACATTTGTGAAGGGGTTCAGGGAAACCAGCAGGCCGGACTTGAGTCCTGGAGATGGGAAGTACAGTGCCTGCACTCTGAAGGAGGGGTGTTAATGTTGCAGTTTAAAAACTGTAGTGTAAAGCACCCTTCTGGCAAGATAGTGATGGAGTGAATGATGGTGAAAGTTTTTCTTTTTCGGGCCACCCTGCCTTGGTGGGAATCGGCCAGTGTGATAATAAAAAAATAATAAAAAATATACGTCTCACGAGCCAGTGTTTCAGATCTATATATACTCAATAATTCTAGCGGCTTCAAATCAAGCAGGAGAAAGCTGGTAGGCCCACATGTGAGAGAAGGGGTCTGTGTGGTCAGTGTGCACTATATAAAAAAAATCCTGCAACACGCAATGCACGAGAAAAAAAAAAAGAAAAAACTCGGACCGTGTTTTTGGATTAAAACACCGACTCTGAGGTGTATTTTCGTATAGTATTTATGGCTGTATTCTCATTTTCTTGGTCTCATTTGATAGACTGGAAAACATATTACAGAAATAGAGATGATTTTGATTAGTTTCATGATGAAAATAACCTTGAAATTGAGCTCAGAGTAGCAGAAATGTTCGATTTTTACCAATGTTCAAGAGTAAGCAAATCACTCCACACGTCCAATACACGTCAACTGGAGAGTCTAATATTCTTTCACTAGTGCACTGATATTATTTATACCATTTTTACAATAATGTAGTAGTCTGCATAACAGTAAATCTTCTATTTTTTGTGTGAATAAAAAATAAAAATAAAAAGCAAGAGAAATGTAAGAGGGGCCTAGAGATGTGACTAATGAACAGAGGATATGTTATTTTAGTGCCAAGAATGTCTGCATTGTTTATTCTGGACCCTATTTTGAAATTGTCATTTTTTTTTAATTTGCGTGAAATTGGCCAAATTGCCAATTTCTGACCACTTGCTAATATGGAGAAAATTATTTTAACAAAGTTTGTGTTTTACACAAATGCTCACATTTTCCAAAGTGATGTTTCTATACTGCAAACAAATGTATAACTAGAGATTCTCAGCTTTCCTATGGTACATTCCACTACTCATTTGTGAAATTTCATTTATGGACTTGATGACTACATGTGGAATGACCCTAAGAATTGAATTTCAGGTGATAATTTAACCATTCTCAGGCATATAAAACAATGAAAATGACCCAACTAGAATATCTGGGAATGTGACAAAAAAAAAAAAACTGAATTTACAAGAAAACAGCAATCACTATTTCAATTTAAAGTCTAGGCCTAAATAATAAAACTCCTCCCAAGGATGTGAACCACAACAGTTGGCTAATACACAGGTACGTATTTCTACAATGTGAGCAGGGACAACGTGTCAGAAACATGTCCATCACCACCCAACCAATGATAGAAGCCAAGTCCTTCAGTTGACAGTGGAAACAACAACCAAAGAGCTACGAATCGTCAACACTAAACTTTTTTATAAGTAATTACAAAATTTCCAGGCAACTTGGATGCTATGTCAAGACCCATCAGATACAGATGACTAGGTATTTACTGCACCAACTTAGCAGCCATACAGTCTTTAAGTTTGATTTTAACTTATGAGGCAGTGAAGAAATGGTTTATAATTTGGTCTAAGTTAGTTCCCAGAGTACAGTATAACCACATCTCTAGTAGCTTCATGCACAACCCAAATGATGTCACCAACCAATAATATAGTAACTCAACCATCAAAATCATCCATTCATTCTGTCTGCGTCTACATCGGTAGACTAACTTGTACTTAGAAGACAATTCTGCCCTACCTATTCCTCTGACTTACAAGTGAAAAAAAAAATCCTGTCATCTCAATCAGAAGACTTTTCACAGGGGTAATAATCACTAAGCATAGAACTTATCAGATTAATGTATAGTATATAAACAAAATGAATTTAAATATAATCACAATTTCAATTACAGTATATTCCCCTCTTAACTGAAGCCAAATGTTTTCATAGAAGCAAGGAGTTAGTTTATTATTCAAAGAATCCTGAAAAATCATCATTCTTTTAATCAACATACAAATCAGAGAGACAAAAACTGACTCACCTCTAGATTTCTTCTTTTCCTGATCGAACATGATAACCACTTCCATGACCCCTCCAAAACGAGAAAAGAAATTTCGAAGGTCTGTTTCTGTAAGGTTTGACGGTAAGCCTCCAAGGAATACCTTAGGCCAATTCCCATTCCTTTTTTGCTTTTGCATGCTGCGTGGGTTACATGCCTTCGGGTCAATCTAAAAGAAAATATTGAAAGTTTTAATAAAGCCTAGCCTGTACAAGTATATTCAAACACTTCATTATATAGTGTAAGAACAGTTTATAAAATGATTTCTGAAGAGCAAAAATATAAGTAACATTAAAATATACACTTAGTGGCCACTTTTTTAGGTACATCTGCCTACCATGCCTGTTATGTCTATGATCCTCATTTTGTGTAATCACCCCATGATCTCAAATGTCTTTGTAAAATCTGTATATCACATTTGCATTTTGCTTGTCAAGATCTCTATCATAGTGATTTAGCAGTTGTGACAGGCATGTCTTCCAGTTCTAAAGCCATGCTGGTTTGGTTATGCAGATTGTGCTGTTCCATAAAGTTTGCAATTTGGCTACTGGTCTGTAATTTCTGGCTCTCTCTCCACTACCTCCCTTATGCAAAGGAGCTATGTTTGTACTCTTTAAAGTCTCTGGTATTTCACCTAGATCTAAGCTCTTTCTCCAAAGAATACCGGGCGCTCATGCTAGTGGTACAATGGACCCTCATTTATCGGCCGTAATCCGTTCCAGAAGCTAGGTCTAAAACCGAAATGGCCGAAAACATATTTCCCACAAGAATTAATGTAAATACAATTAATCCGTTCCAGACAAAAATATTTACAAAAAAAAAAAAAATATATATTTTTTTTAACAATCAGTATTACATACCTTTATTGAAGACTAATGCTGGCCTGCTACTCCCCCTGCATGTCTGCTACACTCCCTGCATGCCTGCTACACTCCCTGCATGCCTGCTACACTCCCTGCATGCCTGCTACACTCCCTGCATGCCTGCTACACTCCCTGCATGCCTGCTACACTCCCTGCATGCCTATTACACTCCCTGCATGCCTATTACACTCCCTGTATGCCTGCTACACTCCCTGCATGCCTGCTACTCCCTGCATGCCTGCTGCACTCCCTGCATGCCTGCTGCACTCCCTGCATGCCTACTACACTCCCTGCATGCCTACTACACTCCTTGCCTCTATGCCTGCCTTGAATTCTATCATGTTTCTCACTTTCTTTACCAAAGTAACTTTACTAAGAACTCTCTTTGGAGCCATGGTGACTTATTTCGCAGTTGCATTTGATAACTAACCACCAAAAAAATGGATTATAGTGAAAGGTTTGGATGAAAGAGCAGAAGCTTCCTCACTCATCCAGACATACAGCCAGACCAATGCAAGCTGCTGCCGGTGGGTGGGTGTACGTCTCATACTGCTGATAAGCAGAAGTCGAAAAACTGGCCTATAACCGAGCTGGCTGATAACAGCAACGACCGATAACCGAGGGTCCACTGTACTTAGCCTTTTTTTTATATAAATAAGGAATTCCTTGAATTTGGTCAAGATGTTAAGTAAGTGGACATGTTTTCAATGTCTTCAAATTCTAAGGAATTAGTACTAAAGTCAGTTAGATGGTCTGTGCGGTCTTCAGATGGAATGAAAACTTTTTCCGAATTCTCCACTCCGCTTTCACTTAATAGGTTACTGAACATCGACTGATATGGGTCTTGTAGAATTTAGTTTTTCTTTTCATCGTAAGTATACGAACCTCCTGTCAATAATGATCTAATTCTTCAGGAAGTTCCAAGTTAGAATTTTTTGGAGGACTATTTTTCCCTTTGTGCTTCAGTATGAGCTGAAAGTTTTTGTACTCAGTTATCTCTTGGCAAAGTTTATCTTTCCTTTGTTGTGACATTCATACTGTTAAGCAATTCAGTAACCCTGCTTCTTCTGTACAATATGCTATGCTCTTCCTACTTCTATGTTTCCTAAATGGTACATATTTATTTAATACAGGTCTTGTATGCATGTGATGAACTTTTGCAGGCACTGGTCAAAATTTAGGATGGTCATGACTGTTTTCCAGTGAATGACGAATAGTTCTTTGTTAACTTTATCCCAGTCAATTCTATAGTTGTTGAAGTTAAATTTACCGAGCACCCCTTCTTGCACATTACTGCAGGAGTTGCCCCACCTGTGTTTATAATTGTTAGTACTTCTATAAATATTGTTTTTGTGATAGTTATGTCACTAATTAGTTCCTCCTCCTTTGTGAAGCTCAAATCCAATGTATTTTCATTTCTAGTGGGATCAACTATCTGTTGGTTCAACATAAACTTTCGCAAAGCCTCATTAGTTCCCTCGTACGTACATGTTGAGACAGTGCCTCCAGGAAAGATTTCTGGCACAATGTTGTGATAAACCATCTTCCACTGTACATCTGGGAGGGTAACATTTGGTGTAGTGTTTTCCAGCATTTTAAGACATCTATCTTCCTTCCTTACTTGATCTGTGAATTTATCATCCATTGTTGAAGGTGGTTAATATGCAAAGATAATCACCCGATTCCTATTTTCCACTTTAATATCTAAAACTATGGTATTTTACTATGAATTAAACAATTTTGTAAACAAAAAGTTAGTCCTACCTTTCCCTGAGACATCTATATACACTGATGTAGACTGTTACATCTATATTTTATCGGGTCAGCAGATAGGTCTATGAAAGATGAGGTGAATCACAGAACTGACAAAGGAAAAAAGGAGAGTGTCGCACTGAGGAGCCTGTGGAGACAAAGAACTTTGTCCATGGAAGCAAAGAGGGGAATGTATGAGAGTATAGTTATACCAATGCTCTTATACAGGTGCAAAGCATGAGTGGTGAAAGCTGCAACAAGGAGAAGGCTGGAGGCAGTGGAGAAGTCGTGTCCGAGGGCAATGCGGTGTGAATATAATGTAGAGAATTCGTAGTTCGGAAATTAGGACGTCGTGCAGGATTACCAAAACTATTATCCAGAGGGCTGAGGAGGGGTTGTTGAAGTGGTTCGGACATGTAAAGAGGGTGGAACAAAATAGAATAACTCTGAAAGTGTATAAATCTGTAGTGGAGGGAAGGCGGGGTAGAGGTCGGCCTAGGAAAGGTTGGAGAGACAGGGTAAAGGAGGTTTTGTATGCAAGGGGCTTGGACTTCCAGCAAGCATTCGTGAGCAAGTTAGATAGAAGCGAATGGAGACAAATGGTTTTTAGGACTGTGTGCTGTTGGGGTGTTAGCAGGGTAACATTTATGAAGGGAATCAAGGAAACTGGCAGGCCTGAAGGAGGGGTGTTAATGTTGGTTTTATAACTGTAGTTTAAGTGCATCTCTGGCAAGACAGTGACGGAGTGAATGATGATGAAGGTTTTTCTTTTTCGAGCCACCCTATTTTGGTGGGAAATGGCCAATGTGTTAATAATAATAATAAAATAATTTCACCATCCAAAACATCCCGTGTATGGATTTCTGTAAATGCTACAAACATGGCATTCACTTTTCTGAAGAACACACTAATGTACAGTGGACCCCCGCATAGCGACTTTAATCCGTGCAAGAGGGCTCATTGTTATGCGAAATGATCGGTATGCGAATGAATTTTCCCCATAAGAAATAATGGAAATCAAATTAATCCGTGCAAGACACCCAAAAGTATGAAAAAAAAAATTTTACCACATGAAATATACATTTTCCTACACACAAAGAGAAGGATACATGCACAATAGTAGAGTAGTACATGCACAATATATATTGTGCATGTACTACTCTACTAAATGAAGAATAAATGACACTTACCTTTATTGAAGATGCAGCAATGACTGATGAGACACTGTGTCCTGGGAGTGCCTTTTCCTCCTGAGTACTGTAGGTCCTGTTTGGCATTTTCTTCCAGAACAGGCCTTATCACACTGTGTATGTCACTACGATTCTTAAATCTCTCAAACCAACCTTTGCTGGCTTTAAATTCACCAATATGAGCACTAGTTCCAGGCATTTTTCCCTGTTCACCTGGGTGTTAGTCGACTGGTGTGGGTTGCATCCTGGGAGACAAGATTAAGGACCCCAATGGAAATAAGTTAGACAGTCTTCGATGACACTGACTTTTTTGGGTTATCCTGGGTGGCAAATCCTCTGGGGTTAATTGTTTCTTGGTATTCTCAATAAGCCACACCAACAACGGTGCTACAGCAGCAGCAGCAGCAGCAGCAGCAGCAGCAGCTGACAGTGCTACAGCAGCAGCAGACGATGCTACAGCAGCAGCAGACGGTACTACAGCAGCAGCTGACGGTGGTACAGCAGCAGCAGCAGCAGCAGCTGACAGTGCTACAGCAGCAGCAGACGATGCTACAGCAGCAGCAGACGGTACTACAGCAGCAGCAGACGGTACTACAGCAGCAGCAGCAGCAGCAGCTGACGGTGGTACAACAGCAGCAGCAGCTGACAGTGCAGCAGCAGCAGCATAATCCCATGAGTTTTCAACCAAATTTCGAACTTTTGGTGTCATTACCATCAGGAAAAGATTCTCTATCATTTCATAAAATAATTTTTTTTTTTCCAAAAATTGAGCGACACAGAATGAGTTTCAGAAAGGGGCCTGAAACAGTCAAAGGGTTAATTGATACCAAGAAACAGCAAATAAAGCCATAAAAACCATCCTAGAAAACACTTCAAAACTGCCATTTTAAACTAAACACAGGGTCAAAGGCTTTCCAATCATGCACCACACGGGGGCAGGATTTTTATTATGCTGAGCACTCGTTCTAGGGATGCATTGGATGCGAAAATTTAAATATCCGTGGATGCAGATGTGTATTCAGATGTCTTGCTTAGTTATTTTGCAGATGCAAATGCGGATACCTGCTTACAGTACAATGCGGATGTCACATCTTGACATCCTTGCGGATGCGGAATTTGCAGGATAGTCATAGAACACCAGATTATTTTTTTTACCGTATGACAAATACCCTTGCGAGTGAGGGACTGAACAGATCGATTCCAAGCTGAGGGACTGATTACCTCAAACTCCTCTCCTTGTCCCTTTCTACTTTGTATTGGACTGATAAAGCCACTGTGTGGCAAAACGTTTCTTCAATAAAGATTCCCATATGTTGCGCAAGTGTCTCAATTCTTCAAGCTGTCAGTTTAAAAACGATTTACCA